GTCCTTCAGTGAATCCACTTTCCCAATGGATCTATATACTTTTAATTGTTTATTTTGACGTTTCATTCTTACCATTGTTTTATCAATTTTTTATTCTTTTCTGTGGTTTAATATTTTTGTTGCACATTGCTTGTATCCGAAAAGAGACTTTCTTTCTTTCTTTCTTTCTTTCTTTCTTTCTTTCTTTCTTTCTTTCTTTCTTTCTATTTATTTATTTATTTATTTATTTAGTACCCCGCCTATCTGGTCCACCGGACCACTCTAGGCGGCTTCCAATATAAGTATTTGGTCTTCCTCTTTTCCTGCTGATCGTTCCAGAGATTGTTCAGGTTGGGACAGGCAGACACAAAAGGACTAGAAAAGACCATGAAGAAAATTGAAGTGTTACAAAGACCATCATCAAGGTCATTCTGGCCAAAAAACAGACCTTAGAGCTAACACGTCACTGGAGGAGGAGATTTCTTGGCTAATGTGAGTCTTTGTGTCTTGTAGTACTAATTCGTTTCACTTCTGAACTGAGGCACTTGTGTTTGGTGATTGGCCTTCAGGATTTAAGAACAGGATTGCTCTGAAGTCGGATTTCAGGAATATGGAAAGAAAGCCTCAATCATCGCTCTGCAACATAAATGTGCTTCCAGCTCTAATTATGGGCCATTTTATTTTGTTTTGTTTTATATCTATGCTCCACCTAGTGTGGGATCCAAACCAGCTTACAAAAGTATTTAAAATCCACAAATGATTAAATATGTACTAATTAAAATATGAAATTATATCTGTTATGTGCCATGAAGTCAGAACAACCAAACTGGGTAGACAAAAACTATGAAGCAGAGTTTAAAACACTCTCAAGATCTGTTTCTCGGCTCAGACTATGCCAGGGAAAACTGGATGGGAAAGAAATCTGAGAGGAAAAATATTCTTTCATTCACAATGCAAAGTGGCGAGTTTTGTAGGCACCACCAGGAAGGTAAACAGTTTAAGATTTAAGCAACCCACTAGACGTCCCACTAGCCTTGAGTTTGGAAGATGAGTTGAGCAGGGCTCTCAGCGATGGGATCTTTTGGAGATCCCTAAATCATAGGTTCGGCAAACCCAAGAAGCGACTTCACCACAGACGATGGCAACTTTGGGGCGACACCGCCTTCTCTGTGGCTGCGCGCAGACTCTGGAACTCCCAACCACAGGTGTACTGTGGCTGCTCCTAGACTCTGGAACTCCCAACCACAGGAGTCCAGGCTGGCCCCATTTTTGCTCTCCTTCTGCAAGCAGGTGAAGACTTTTCTCTTCACTCAGACTTTTCATAGAATCACAGAATAATTGAGATAGAAGGGGCCTATAAGGCCCTCGAGTCCAACCCCCTGCTCAAGGCAGGAATACTATCCAAGCAGATCTGCCAGGTGAGGGTTGGAGCACTCTCCAACTCCTAAGGTCACTGGCTCCACCGTCGTACTGCTCTAACAGTTAGGAAGTTTTTTCCTGATCTTCAGCTGAAATCTGGCTCGCTGTAAATTGAGCCCATTATGACATGTGCTGCACTCTGGAATGACCAAGAACAGATCCTGCCTCTCCTGTGTAAGATTACTTTTCAATTCTTTGAAAAATGCTATTGTATCTTTCCTTAGTGACTGACTGCGGCGTTCGCCCCTCGTGGCCCGTTTTGTCTCTCCAAACACAGAGCTCACGAAGGCAAATCGAAACCTCTCTCTTCACACGCTCCCACCAGTTGATCTCTTTTACCAATTTATTTCACTTAGCAAAGACGAAGGTCCATTCAGTACTGACTTTTTAATAGAACAGGTTTATTGATTACAGTTGACTTCTGAAACAATTCATAAGCACAATCTTCAAATTTCATCAAGCTTCAGTATTAACCTTCTATAGTTACTATCACAGTTTAAACTCGGACTAACCACTCCTCAGACCCCCCAAACTATCCTCCTCTCTCTGATTCCTAACACAGACTCTACTGAACTGACTTCAACTAACTTCCTTAGACTTCCAGGCTCTGCCTTTTAACATCTCTTGTGGGCCCACCTCTCAACCATATTAGCATATAGTATCTCATGAATAATACATATCTTCTTACAAAACTCAGGGTGAACGCTACACTAAGAGTTTTTTTAAATCGGATGGTTTGTCTTTTGTTGCTTCCAAATCGGTTTTCAGTAACGCTTTGACCTAACATTTGGCAAATAATGTTATTAATTTTTTTTAAAAGTATATTTGAATCATTTACTGTTTTTAGCTGTTAATATTGTGGGGTACTGTAACATAAGCTACCTTGGATCCTTTGGGGGGGGACAAAGGTGGGGTGATAAATAAATACATAAATAAATACATATTTTTTTATTTAAAAAATTAAAGAATAAATCCATGTTTCGCTTGGCAGCTGCTATTGGCGAGTTTTGAGGCCGGCCGGCCCCAGAGAAGGCGGGGCGGGGCGCAGGCCCGTCACGTGGCTCTGAGCAAAAGAAACAACAACAGGTGACGTCAGAGGACAGCTGCGAGAAATGTTGCAACGTTCCATCCGCTCCGCCCTTCATTCACAACC